AGTTTGACCGACACGTTGTATGTTCCCTGGTGGTTGGTTAATGAAACATGACATAACTACTTTTTTATAGAATGCGCCATAAAATCCACTGAGAATTTTTCCTTTGCCACTTCAGCAAACTGTCAATTTCATTTGGTCAAATTTTTATCACACTTTGTAAAAAGCATTGGTAGCATCCTACTAAGCAGATAGAAATGTGTAATCTAGCTTTATGTATTTTTAATTGTTTGGTATTCATGAGTACAACTGTGACACTATTGCCACCATTGCAAATGCATACCTTAACTCTCCAAACATACCCTAACAAATAGCAGTTGCACCTCTCCACAAAAGTCAACATTGATACTGAAATACAACACCACCTGAGCTCTGCGAATGCAGCTTTTTTTCCCCAAATGAAGCAGCGAGTGTTTGAGGACCGGGACATCCGTAGGGATACCAAGGTGCTTGTTTATAAAACTATTGTCCTCCCAACCCTGCTATATGCCTGCGAGACGTGGACTGTCTGCAGACGTCACATGCAACTCCTGGAACGATTCCATCAGCGCTGCCTTCGGAAAATCCTGCAAATCTCTTGGGAAGACAAGCGGACAAATGTCAGTGTGCTGGAAGAAGCAGATACCACTAGCATTGAAGCGATCAATGCCATCAACTCCGCTGGACCATCCACGTTGTCCAGATGCCCGACCACCGTCTCCCAAAGCAGTGGCTCTACTCCGAACTCAAGAATGGAAAAGAAAATGTTGGTGGGTAGGAAAAGAGATTTAAAGATGGGCTCAAAGCCAACCTTAAAAACTCTGGCATAGACACTGAGAATTAGGGAGCCCTGGCCCTTGAGCACTCCAGCTGGAGGTGAGCTGTGACCAGCAGTGCTGTAGAATTTGAAGAGGCACGAAAGGGCGAAAGAGAGAAACATGCCAAGAGGGAGGTGTGTCAAGCCAACCCCGACCGGGACCGTCTTCCACCTGGAAACCAATGCCCTCACTGCGGGAGAAGATGCAGATCAAGAATAGGGCTCCACAGTCACCTACAGACCCACCGCCAGTACACTGATCCTGGAAGACTATCCTACTTGGACAATGAGGGATCGCCTAAGTAAGTAAGCACTGAATGATATACAGTTGGTCCGTTTTTCTGGCAACAACAGAATGATGTGTCCAGTCCTATCCCACTAGCAATCTAAGGTGTGACATTCAGGAATGGGACCCCTATCATAATGCCTTGTTGCAGACTGCAGCTGCTGGCTATTAAGGTAAGCTTAAGGAGACAGGTCAAGAAACAATATGTAGTTACACATGTTTGCAGTTACACATTTGTAACTCTACTGTGATGTAGGATTTCGGTCTATGTTGGATGCTAGCTGGAACAATAAATGCCATGTTCCATAAATGTCAAAAACCAAAAGAATACATTGAGCATACTTAGTGCTCCCTAAGGCATCTGTTTGTTATTGCATGTGGTTTCCTTCTATGATAGATCTTGCATTTACCATGTTTTGTAAACACAGGCTTAATTTGCAAGATATGCATTCCAGAGGAAATCCTATTGCACAAAGGAACATGTGTCAAAGCAAAACAAAAGACACAATATGGATAATTGCTACCCGTGAATTCAAGTGCATCATGTGAGTGGATATCATCCCCTACAGTTACACCATTTTAAAAATCAATAGATATTTTCAAACAGAATTTCAGTAATTTCAGCCATGGACATTTTGAGGCAAGGAAATGTTTGTTTTCTGAGGGGGAAAAGCATAGAATATTAGTGGATGGAGGGAAGATGCAACCATGATTCTTTAAACTATAGCCTTTATATTTATCTCAAAGCACATTTCAGCACAAGATACTGCAGTGCTGACAAAATCCAGATCACCAGAAAATGGTGTAAGCTATTTTGCATTTGTAATGAATTAGAAAATCCAACACAAGGCATGAAAAGGAGGTAAAGGTAAAGGTTGTCCCCTGACATTAAGTCCAGTCATGTCTGACTCTGGGGTGTGGTGCTCATCTCCATTTCTAAGCCAAAGAGCCAGCGTTGTCCATAGACACCTCCAAGGTCATGTGGCCAGCATGACCGCATGGAGCGCCGTTACCTTCCCGCCAGATCTATTGATCTACTCACATTTGCATGTTTTCGAACTGCTAGGTTGGCAGAAGCTAGGGCTGACAGCGGAAGCTCACGCCGCTCCCTGGAATCGAACTTGCGAGCTTTTGGTCAACAAGCTCAGCAGCTCAGTGCTTTAACCCACTGCGCCACCGGGAGGCCACATTATTTTCCTACACACCTTTTTAAGTAAAGCATTGTGGTCCAGCCCTGAATTAGTGAGACCAATATACCGGGCATGGAACCTAGCCAACATAATGATAGGCAACAAATAATTGTATGTCTTGCAGATATAGATAACCTCTCTTTTCTCTTGGCGTCACTGTTTTGGATGATTCAGGAAACTCCAGTTATGGAAGCTTTCTCAAATGTCCATGTAGTGAGAAAGCTACAACCATATTGTCTCGTTTAATTTTGGCCTTACATTGACAACCCATTCTATAGAATCCCATAGGGGAGAGGTCCCCAGTACATTCTTTTAATTTTTATCTTCGACAACAATCCATTTCCACCTTTCTCTATACATAACTCAGAAGGAGAGCATAATGCAAGTGAAGGAAACTGTTCTCTTTCCTCAAATTTGTCACCAATGAGAGTCCAATAAATAGACAAAACGATAAGAAAGAGAAGTTCAAGGACCCTCAACAAGGCTGTGGACACTGAGAAGTGTCCAGTGATGCATATAATTGGCACTACCCTTGGTTACCTCGGATGAATTTATGGCAGTTTTATCCTGGTTTAGAGTGCAGTGATCTGTTTCCTAACAGAACGTTCAGCACTCAAATTAAAGTGGATCTACGCTGCCTTATAATGCAGTTTGAACTGCATTACATGGGTATACACTAACTATATACAGCAGATTCAAACTGAATTATACAGCAGTGCAGATCCAGCCAAAGTCAGCAATTGCAATGGCTAAGCTTCCCAGACTCAATTCAAAGTGATATATTTGTAGTTATATATCCTTTTTTGATTTGAGTCTCATGTAGTGTTGAAGCTATCACCTTCTTTGCTGTTCTGTTTAAAATCAGCCACCAACATCTATCCAACCTGTGAGCCAAGGCTGTTCTGTGAAGTTATGTACAGGCTGTTTTTACAGTTCTGGGACTCCCTGTACCTGAAAATTTTGCAGAGTGAGAAAGATAAAAAGGAATCCTGTAGCACTTTTGATACTGAGAACAAGGGATTTTTTTGCATAAGCTTTTTGTGAACACCAGTCCACTTCATTTGTACCTGATAGAGTGGACTGGAGGTCTCAAAAGATATGCTAAAAATGTCTTGTTCACAATCTCAAAGCTGCTATAGAATTTTTATATCTTTTTATGTTGAAGCAGATTAACATCATCATCAAACGAGTAAATTTCAGCATCGTAGGATTCTTCTGCCTCAGTTGAGCCACGGAGCCCTATGCCATCCATCAGATGACATAGGTTCACTTCCAGTGGAACTCTATGGCTCATTCAAGAAGCAGGCATCCTACAATGCTGCGCCAACACGGGAGCCTCCCCATATTCCATTAGGAACAACAGGGCTAGTGCAGGGGGAAGCCACATGGTGATACTTCCCCACATGTGATGGAGAAGTGTCACTGCCAGCAAGATGGGGTGCGGGATGCCTGGATTGCCCCACTGCCCCACCAATTCGCCATGGAGGCTGACAAATCAGAACTTGGGACCCTAAGACTTCTGTGTCTTTTAATTCTGAAGGATTATGTAGGGAATATGAATGTGATGTAGACATTGACTTTCTTAAGTTTTATGGATAGAAGGAAACTAAAATATGCTGGTAAATTTTGCCTTTGGGCTCACCCGTCCATGGAATTCAATCTCTGTAAATCCCCTGTGAGGGGATTGCCTGATCGGCCATTGATCTCATGGCTGGATGCCTTGTTCCAACTTCAGAACAAGTTACTTTGCAAACAGGGCTCTGCCATTGAGATGGCTGGCAGGGAATTGTTCAGCAGCCACAAGGAGAACAATAGTTTATTTTGCCTGTCAATGGCCCCAATCTACATATTGTTTTTAAAATGGCAACAATTTGTACTCATCAATTTGTCCCCCTCCCCCAAGTCATCCCAATCTAGATGGACACACTGTTTTCCTGGGAAACTGTAGAGTAAGAAGTGTGTTTTTTCATGCATTAAATCCTAAAAGATGTGCTTTCACTGTGAAAATAGCCATACGTTGGGTGTTCCAACAAAACCAAAATAGAAGTGGATACAGATTTCTTTTTTGTGTATACAACCCCTTAGGGGAGAATAAAGGTTTGCAGCAGGCAGCCCACTCTACTCATATTGTGCCCACAGGCACTATTTTAATAATAATAATAATAATAATAATAATAATAATAATAATAATAATAATAATAATAATAATAATAATGCTTTATTTATATTCTGCTCTATCTCCCTGAATGTGATAATGGAGATGTCGCTGATAAACTCTGTTCCATCCTCCACACTCATAATTCTAGTTGTTGGGGCCAGAGTGAAAACCCTAACAGGGCTTCTGATTGCATATGCTGACTGAGATGGAGTTAATGAGTGTGTATCATATGAGAAAGTGGTGTTCTTTCTTAGTCTACCAACCCAAGAATGAGCCGTTGACCATTGTGTTGCAGAAAGTAAGCACATAATTAATGCACAGTGTAAAACTGAACAGCTAACAGATGGATTAATTACAGACTGATTGTATGTCTGTATATATCCTTGTGTGTCACTGCTAACAAGAGACTATGACAAAGTTATTTTTGAGACAGAGATTTGATTTTGCAGAGAACTCAGGATATCTGCGAGGTTACTGAAAACTGTGCCTCCCAAATGAAAGTGTTACCAATTTCGAGTGTGCCTAATTAAAAAGAAATATCCATACATAAAGACACAATAAGAGTAAACAAGTGGCAGAGACCAGATTTGTTTCTAATAAATGTGGAGGCAATCACAACACAATGCAAAGACTCCCAGCATAAGGGGCAAAGTATCAGCAAGGCAATAAAAGCAAACTATTTGAGGAAAAAATGTGTTTTCCTCAGCACAAATTGAAAAGGGAGACAAAAGCAAAATACATTAATGAACATGCAGCTGTAAGATAAAGGCCCGATGAGGGTGCTGGTGATGATGATGATCATGCCAAACCAAACTTCTTGCTTGATTCTTCTCAAAGCAGGACTTTACAACAGATTGCTTTGTGACACTAGGAATAAATGAACAAAAATTGAATTTCAAAACAGATCCTGATGCTGAATGCAGCATAATCACACAGCCAGCCAAGACAAAAAGATTAGTGATTGCCCACTGTTAGTACTGCAAATTAGGCTTGTTTCACAAAACAAGCCCATGCTACAAAGCTAGGCTGGCATGACTGCATAAGGACAGATGCCACTCAGATTGTCAAATTCAGCAAGGCTGGAAATTTCATGTGTGCTTAGGTTAAAGAGGAGTTTGCAAACAGAGATAATCCAATGGGTTTAGAACCTGCCTGCAATAAGAATAGGAAAGAGACAATCCTCGATGCACATTATTCCAAATTGTCACCACAATAGATTTATGGCCCTGCACATTTGCACCAGTGTATTTGCATATAATGGTAGTGCAACATTATGGTTTATTCTACACTAGTCAGAATTCAGTCTTCCTCCACTTAGTGCCTTCCAGGGATACTAGTGTATAACTCCCATAAAACCAACCAGCATGGCTGGCTAGAAGTTATGTAAATTGCAACTCAATGTATCCAAAGGGCAACAAAGTGGGGAACAACTATATAGTCAATACATCCCATAAACAGCATTAGGTTGAAGCTGTAATGAATATTGGTAGAACAGAATTATCAGTACAGAATGCCTTGCCTTGACCATGACATTACAAAGGGTTAGAAAAATCATTTTTAACATTCCTCAGTCAGTCTCTGGCCTGTTTATTGAATTTTGTAACTTATGCCTGAAAATTATATGGGGAAACAACTCATCCCTAAATTCAAGGCATGCAAATTCTATTTTTATTTTGATTGCAATCAACATACACCAAAGCATTTACCAATGATTAAAAATTCAAGCAGCAGCAATTTCAGGTTCCATGGCTCCACCCTGGTGATTGATCACATAATGATAAAATGAAAGATTAGGCCTAAGAAAAGTGTATCACGTCAGTATCATCATTCTAACAGTCCTGACTTGCGGGTTGTTGTAGGTTTTTCAGGCTGTATAGCGATGTTCTGGAAGCATTCTCTCCTGACGTTTCGCCTGCATCTGTGGCAGGCATCCTCAGAGGTTGAGGTCTGTTGGAAACTAGGAAAATTCGGTTTATATATCTGTGGAATGTCCAGGTTGGGAGGAAAAACTCTTGTCTGTTGGAGCTAGGTTTTTAGCTGTCCCTGATTGTTTCTTGTCTGGAGTTCCCCTGTGTTTGAGTGTTGTTCTTTATTTACTGTTATAATTTTAGAGATTTTTTTAATATTGGTAGCCAGATTTTGTTCATTTTCATGGTTTCTTCCTTTCTGTTGAAATTGTACACATGCTTGTGGATTTCAATGGCTTCTCTGTGTAGTCCTGACTTGACAGAGATTGTCCGAAATACAACCTCATCAGACAAGTCGAATTCAGCAGTGTATGCCAGTTCCTCTTTAGTTTTGCCACGGAGCCCACCAGCTCCCTTCCCATGACATATGTTATGAATTGCCTACCTTTTAGGCCCGGGAAAGGCTCAGGAAGTAGGCCCAAGTGTTTTGGCAGCCATTTTGTGAGATGGTGCAGGGAGGCAGCCATCTTAAAGTACTCATTTCCTAGAGGAGGCGGAGCTTAGGAGCAGCCTGGAGGGAAATGTGGAGAGCCTTTGTGATTGGCTAGAAGAAAGTGGGCGGAGCTTAGTGGGAGTGCAGAAAAAAATTGCCTGAAAGGGTGTATTTTAAAATCTGACAGTGAAGTCAGGGTCTGTGTGTTGAAGAAAAAAGTTAGGTTTTGGGAGAGTTAGGAGAAGAGAAGTTAGAGTAACCAAAGTGGTCAGTTAGAGAAGAGCTATCAGGTAGAATAGCTGGTATAGAGAATAAACAGATCCAAGGGAAAGGACTGTCTGGAATAATTGGGAATTCTAGTCAGAGGGAAGTCTGCTGATTTCCTGAGAGAGTGAAGAGCTGTTTTTGGAACTAAGCCTTGAACTGTTTTTAAAGTAACCATAAGTTTCATCTCTTTCTCTCTCTTTTTTTTGCAACTGTTACGCTAAAGTGCCTGTATTGTTGAAGTTCACACAAATAAACAACTTTATTCTTTGTTCATCAACAACTGTCTCAGTGTGCCTCTATATAAGTATAGGATAGGGAAACAGAGTTTCCAGATTGGTGGCAGCGATTATTTAGAAGAATCTCATTGTTTGTTACCTCAGAGTTCAGAGCCCTCAGTGCGAATCCAGCACAATCCAGCCTAATAAAAACCTCTTGCCAAACCAAAAGTTAAACATTCCTTTTAAGTTGGTGGTTGCCAGTTTCCACACTAAGGTTACCTCAGAATATTGTGTATTGGGGCGAAGTCTTTGTAGCCTCCAAACACTTAGGTTGTTTTAAATAAAAATCAATTACAGCGGTGATACAGCAGTGGGATCTCCAAACTAATGGTGATCCTTTTCAAGTAATAGATCCCCTCCTCTCTCTCCCCCCCCCCTCTCGTTACAACATACATCTACTTTCAGCAGGGCTCTGTGGCAAAACTGAAGAGGAATCAGCATACAATGCCAGTGCAGCAACACAGGAGGCTTCCCATGTTGCATTAGGATCAATGGGGGAAAGCTGGGTGGCAGACACTTCCCCCCATGAGATGGGATAAGGGGGAAGTTGAGCAATGTGCAGTGATGGGTTCCCCATGCCCCTCACTGGGCAATGCCAAATTTGCCACAATCTGTGGCAATTCTAGCAGCAAATATGATGAGATCCTTAATTTTCTTTTTTTTCCCCCCACTTTCATGGTCACTTTTTAAATGTCCTGATTTTAATTTCCCTCTCACAAACTCTCATTTTGGATGATATCCAGAACTTTTATATATGGTATATTTATGTTCAAGTTTTCTAGATCAGAACTCTCTAACCTGCAACCTGGAATCAATTTTAATATTACATTTACATTTTCCCTTCTTTCTCTTCCCCTCCTCAGCTTTCCATTAGTTAAAAAGAGAAATACATTCTCACACTATTCACCTTCATCAAAATGTAATTTCCCCCATCACCATTTATTCCTTGAGTCTAATGTAGTGCTTCCTTCATCTTCATAGGCTTCTTTCATTGACTCCACTGGAAATCACTCCAAATTTGAGGTCAGAATACCACAGTTTCCTTTTGGGATGTCATGTAGGAATGGAACTTAGGGGTCCTGTTTTACAATAGTGCATTTCTTCCTGAAGGACCAAAACCAGAAGATGGGGACTCTGCCTTAATCATTTGGCTACTGGTTTGCGGGGTCCTGAAGGGCTTGGTGCTATTCCCTCTGCCATTTAACATATACATGAAACTGTTGACAGAGGCTTTCTGTAATTTGAGAGTTCAGTGCCAGCAGTATGCAAATAACACTCAACACTCAATACTATTAACCCTTTTCACCATAAGCCAAGGAAACTGGTGCCTGTCATTAGTAATGGATTGGATATGAGTGAATGAATTGAAATTTAATCCAGACAAGACGAAGCTCAGCCAAAAGGCAGATTAGGGAACAGGGATTCAGCCTGTGATGGATAGGGTTTCTTTCTTCCTGAAGATGCAGGTCCTTATTCCTGAATTCACCTGGGAGTCCGAAAGCTCAGGTTGCAGCAATGGCTAGGAGTGCTTTTGCACAGATAAATCTTGTTCATCTGTGCCCATGCCTTGAAACGTCAGATCTGGCCACAGTGACATACACTTTAATTATATCCTGGTTGGATTGCTGCAATGTGCTCTATATGGGACTGAAGAGTGCTTGGATGCTTCAACTCATCCAAAGAGCTACAATCACATTGCTAACTGAGGCTGGCTACAGGGAAAACACAACTGCGCCCATATCTTGGGAATTCTGACTTGGCCACGATAGTCCACACTTTGGTTACATCCCATATAGACTACTGCAACACGCTCTACATGGGGTTGCCTTTGAAGACTGTTCGGAAGCTTCAAATGGTCCAGCGGGTGGCAGTCAGGTTGCTAACGGGAGCAGCACTCAGGGAGCATACAAGTCCTTTGTTGCGTCAGCTCCAGTGGCTGCCAGTTTGCTATCGAGCACAATTCAAAGTGCTGACTTTAGCCTATAAAGCCCTAAACGGTTCTGGCCCAGCTTACCTGTCTGAACATATCTCTCCTAATGAACCATCTAGGAACTTAAGATCATCTAGGGAGGCCCTGCTCTCAATCCCGCCTTCCTCACAGGTGCATTTGGCGGGGATGAGAGACAGGGCCTTCTCAGTGGTGGCCCCTCAGCTGTGGAACTCCTTTCCTAGGGATATTAGATTGCCCCCCTCCCCGCTGACCTCCCAAAAAAGAATAAAAACCTGGCTCTTTGAACAAGCTTTTGGAAAGGCAGCATAACAGACAAAACAGTACGATGAAATAATAAACACAGAACCACTTAGACGATGCAAATGGATAAGAAATTGATCTGGAAGGTTGTTTTTAGTTTTAATATGTGATATTAAATGTTTTAATTGATGTATGTATTTATATTGTGGCATCAAATTGTTGCCAGTTGTACGCCGCCTTGAGTCACCTCCGAACTGAGAAAAGCATGATAAAAATGCTGTAAATAAATAAATAAACTTCCTTATTCCAACAGCTTCACTGACTATTAATTTGTTTTGAGGTACAATTCAAAGGGCTGGTTTTGACCTATAATGCCCTTTAAAGCTCGGGTCCAGGCCATTTGAGGATCTGTATTTTCTCTTAGGAAGCAACCCATGTTTTAACATCTACTGAGGAGGTCCTTCTTTTTGTCCCATCCCTCTCACAGGTACATTTGGTGGGATCACGGGAGAGGGCCTTCTCAATAGCTGCCTCCAGGCTCTAAAACCCCCTTCCCAGAGAGTTAGACTGACACCTGCACTAATTTCTTTTCACAGAGAAGTAAAGACTGTTTTATTTAGACAGGCATATGTAAGACATATCCCATCAAATAATGTGTTGGATTTTGGTAATTGTTGTTCAGGTGTGTGTGTGTGTGTGCATTTTAATGATACAGGTCTTAATCTTGTTTT